AAAATATATTTTATGGCAGTAAAAATACTGGCAGTGCAAACATTGGTCTGTCGGATACAGCGTTTATTGCCCAAAAAGTTTTTTATTTATTTGTGAAAAGAAATGCAGTTGATCAAAAACTGATAGGATGCGGTCGCGCGATACTGTGTATTTGGGGGCTTAAACGTGTGTATTATAAAAATGTGTTTTATTTAGGTACATTTGTACATTACTAGCGGCCGCCCTCACTTCGCACGGGTCTAACTATCTCGCTAACAACAAAAGGTCTATTTTTCTAATATTTTCTTTTAAGAACAATAATAAAGAATTGGCAAAATGCGCTTACCATTTAGCGTTTTATCCACCAAGACAAGATGTGAACAAGAACCTTTCAAAAATAGGCTAAAAGCTAGGAAACAATGTTAAGATACTAAACTACTTAATTGAATTACGAACCTTGTATTAGTTTTTTCTTTTCCTTTATGTTACTGGCACGATTGGAAACATTCACCAATCCGCATTGTCAAACAATCAGATGCAGTACCACAGTCCGTTGGTTTAACAGTCGGAAAGCAAACCTCTTCTGATTTTAAACCAAACAAACAATTCTGGAGAATTTGTGTTGCCATATTCTTTGCACAGAATGATTGTGGATGGTTGGAAAGTAATCTAAACAAGGTATTTCATTCGAGGACTATCAAATAAAATTGCCAAATTGATTGTTATCTTGGACTCAAGAATGGGGTAGTGTATGATCGCCTCGCAAATAATCATAAAATTAATTAGGTGCCCATAAATATTGTCTGTATAAACTTTACCCAAGAGACCAACAAGAAAATACGGCTCAAAGCCGAATAATAGGGTTTAAAGGAACTTTGCGTAATTGATAAAAGAAAGGATAAAAAAGCAAACGATGAAACGCTTGTGTTACTTGTAAAATACATTTTTATTATAAGCCTTTTTAATTCCGCGTATTTGTCGTGTATTTAATACAGAAACTTTCTACGAACTCATTTCAAAATGTTCGACTCTGGACATTGCAGTTTATTGAAACGAAAAAGGGCAGTGATGTTCAAAGGGGTTTTTCATATAATATCACGCCAACTGGACATTTCGGACACCTTACATGCAAAGGATAAAATTCAAACGTACATTAAATTGTTTTTAAATTTCAAAAATGTTCGCGACCTTTTCAATGCTTACAGCTCATACTCCTTTATTTCGGAAAATTCATCGCAAACTTTTAACTTTTTATTGAGACAATTTTCTACTCAGTTAGGTGTGACAAGTCGATGTTTACTTCCTCGTTAGTGCTGCGCTCGATGCTGGGGTGGCTTTTGAACTCGAGGTCCTGTTTATTCGTATATTATTATATGCATGGTGTTAAGCAATATTAAGTAGTTTTGCCTTAGGAGTACTTTACTAGGTACCGACTAAGTTGAACGTCGAAGAAAATGTTGACCCTCTAATAGACCGATGAGTCAACGGACATAAGTTCTTCGTGAGTCATTGTTGGTGGTGTTGGGAATTCTATCAGCCTCTGCAGCTTCGGCAACTTATTTATCAACCTCCAACAGATTACAACCACCTTATGACAAAGTTTGATCCCATCAGCAGCTGAACTCAACAAATTCATAGCTGACCGGTGCATGCCTGCGGCGTATTAATCACGACTAATATGTTTATTAGTTAACGGATGTGTCGGTACGTACGCGCATGCGTTTGCGTGGATGCATCGCAATGTTTTCGCGGCAGCGCGCGCGCAGTTGCGGGGGCCGGGAGCGGCAGTTGGCCGCCGTACGTGCACCGAGACGGACGTGTGTCGCGTGTGAATGTTTGATGTTTGCGAGCGCGGGGGCGGTTAGACCGGTCGCACGACCCGACGACCTTACGTACCGTTCACTCACGCACCTCTCGTGCTAAAACTAAGTGCATCAAAAAATACACACTAAAGGATTGATTCACATTGCCCTTTCTGGATAGATGCATCTGATTTTCAACTTTGGAAACTGCATCCGAGACTTCTTGAGATATGTACGTATATTTGTTATTAGACCAGGTATGTGTGGCTAGTAACCGGTAGTATAATAACTGTTTTAATACATGACTGGATATTCCTTCGTGTTTTTGTTCTATGCAGCAGATATATTGTAATGTACGCATGTGAGAGGTTCCCGAGTGCGTTTCGTAGAATATTTGTTAAACAAACAAAGTTTGATAATAGTCCCATAAGAATTTAAATGAATTCCACATGAACCGGCGCATAGCGTCCCTTAATTGTAATTCTTTAAGAAAAAATATTATTTTTGTGGGTTCGCATCTGTGATTTGATTATTTTAATCATACAGATCTACATCAGAATAGAAAATAATAGTACAAAATGCTTGGTAAAGTATGAAATCGTAAACGTAAACATTAAAACTTTCAAATTAGAGCGACATGTGATTTCTGTAATAGTGGCGGAGCACAGAGTATGTCATTACAAGTGTGCACCTAATAGCAGATCGCAGCAGTGTGGGTAACACTTACACTAGCGCGGTAATTACAGTAATTGTAATTCTTGCAAGTGTAAAATAAAATAATATTATGTGTCTCCGGGTCTAAATATATATCACTGACATGTTGCAAAACGTACTATAACTGACATAATTACAGGTTCGTATATAATGTAAATAAGTTATTTTTACCGTCATTACATAACAAAATCACTTCACGTGAATATAAACCCTGAATCAAAATGTATTAGACTATATTTCCGATACTTCAAAATCGTCACACGGAAAAGCGATTACTGCCTGGTGTAAAACCCATCCTAATACTTAGAACTAAATAATACATCATTAAGAACATTCCTTTTAATATTCATCTCTTCACTCTCATCTCTAAAATCCAAGAAAAAAAAATGTGGTTGCAAAAAACATTGGTACAATTTTTGAGCCGGGATACCTAGTCAAAGAAAAGTATTAAAAAGTTTTTATTACACGAAAAATGTGTCAAATCTTACCATAAATAGACTAAAGCATTCGAGAAATAAGTCCACCCATCAACAAAACGACCTCGGTTCGCGTAACTTAACTTAAACCGCACAACTGTTACAGACCCCAGGGTAGGCAAAGGTCAGGGGATTTAAATTGCAGAACATGTGTGCACGGTAGCCTTTCTTTTAAGTTAAAAGTACTTAAGTATGATCATTAGTAATAAAAGATAAGATTGACCAAGAAAAATATTAAGTACATCTTGATCACTTAGATATTTTTCTCGAACATAAAAATAAATACTTCGTACAAGGGAAAATCCACAAAAAGTTGGCAAATCTGATTCCTTACTACTACTGCTTAAAAGTACTTATTGGTAGTCGTATCATTTTTTATTCAATTTCAAAATAACGATCGGTGATTATATCGGTTATTTATTTTGGCCACTTACTGTCACATACCTATTTAAAAGCTTAAGAAGTATAATTATAACATTAAGGTTCATAATCGGTGTAGTTTTGTTTGTTTTCTACTAATTTCTGTTTGGATTTCTCATAAAAGTACTGAAACACTACAAATGGCGCGGAAGTCTATAGAAAAGTACCTACATCATATTTTTTATAGATTTGGGTAATATTAATGATTATATTCCTCATACATTTCAGTAGACAAAATGTCAAGTCTTATATAAAAGACGAAAATTGTGTGTTTTAAACCGTTTCTATAAGTTTTAAGACACAAGAACCAGTTAACGAAAAAAAAATTATTTAAGCGGATAATTGCTGTTTTAACCACCTTTTTATGGGAAATTAATTGTTCGTGACCGTAGATAAATAAATCAATCATCATTATGACATTTCAAGTGAACCGGTATCTGGACGATTGAGCGAACGAAAAACACGTTGGGAGATCCTTTTCTTACTTCTATTCAACTAACTGTTTTAATAATTTATTGCCTTTTTATTATTTGACCGAATAATAAAATATAATTTGACCTAAACGAATAAGTTTGTCAGTTTTTATAATAAGACAGTAGAGAAAAAAACTTAAAAAAAAAGTTGTCAACCGTTTCTTTAATATTTCAAAGAATATTTTAATACAACTCTGTTATCGCCACAAATTCATTTGCATCTGCTGCCCAAGCATAAAAGGCTACCTTAATTAATTAAATTACGTGAAAATTTACGTAGAGCGTTAAAAATAATGTTTTTGTTTAAAAACTATCCAGGACTACACAGGAGTCTTAAAATTTCATTTGGTTAAGTAAGCTGGGAGGGTGGTAGCAAAAACGTAAAAGAAAAAAAATGGATGATCCAAAAAAAATTTTGAAGTAGCTCCTCCCAAACAGCTATGTATATAGTATTACGCCTCCTACAACAAAAAAAATGTGGAAAAAAACTGTTATACACTCGTTCCCTTTTCCTGGGGTCCCTTTATGACACTTGTGGGCCACGTGATTGGTCTAAAATTTCTAAGCAAGTACCAATAGAAGAACGGGGATAAGATTCATACATTTGTACAAAGACAGATGCGTCAAAGTTGCATATGGCTGTGATATTGGTGTTTGCGTGCTTTTAAATGACGCTTAAAAAATATCACCTGCCCATGCCGTAACGTATAAGTCAGCTTGTTTCATGGATAAGGTAATAATTATGCAATTAATTCGTAGATTATTTTATTTTTCCAATCAATATGTTACGACCCAAAAAAAGTTGCTTTCAGGTCAGGTATAATTTATTTTTGACAGAGAAAAGTACCCCATAATTCAATGAAAAAGATCATTAATTAAACAAGATTAATTTTAAAAATATTTTACTTTAAGCATTCAAACACATACTGGACGCAATCTACCTTATTACAGAATTAAGTACTCCTATGCTATTGTTGTAAACCTGTACAGTCTGCACAACAAAGGCATTCCGGCTATTTCTTGATTAGAATTGCGTTCAAATCAAACCATTGTCTATAATTCGGATGGAACTAACATAATGCATCATTGGCGGCAATGCCATTTAGTAGAGGACTCTAAACATATATACTTACATGATGAGATCGGCTGCTAATAGAGGTCAGAATAGATCTTCTTTAACCACTATAGGAAATTGGAACCTTTCTTTAATTTTTTTGAATAAGGTACCTAACTCATTATTACACCTCCGTCAAATTAAGCTAGACCGGTAACTTCATACTTAAATAAAAGGGCAATTTTATCGCTAATGTCTATCTCCGTGACTGAAACTAGACATCGTAATCATAGCGTGCAAGGAAACATACGACGTTTTTTATTTATTAGATATAGGTTGCCATATTTTTATTAACGCAAACGCTTATTTGAATGACATTCTGGGGCCAACTACACTGACAAATTCAAAATCGAAGTGTAGAGAGATAAAAATGTATAAATTACTAGCACTTTCATTCATTTATGTTTCTTTTGTGCAGGTTGGCAAACAGCTGCACTGGGGGTGTCGGGCGCGGGCCCCAGCGTGCGACCCATGCGTGCAGGTAGCATGGAGCCAGTGCCGCCCGTGCACACGCCAATCTACGAGCACAAGAAGCACCGGCTGTCACGCCTGCTCGATAAGCTGGCAGTCCAGCTGAATAATAATAACAACTACCCCACTCCATCTTGGCTCGTGCATGACACTCCGCAAACAGAGCATAACGAAGCTCCCTTGGACCTCAGCCTCAAGTCGCCTCGCGAGGGCACGGGGATATTCAGTTGCCACGCCTGTGGCCAGGAATTCTCCATCTACGACCGCCTGGTGAAACACATCGCGTCACGGCATCGCAGCAAGCCAGAGGGCGTGCGCGCCTACGAATGCGAGGTTTGTTACCGCAAGTTCGCCAGGTCGGACATGCTGACTCGGCACGCGCGCCTACACAGCGGGGTCAAGCCGTACTCGTGCGCGTCGTGCGGACAGGTGTTCTCGCGCTCCGACCATTTGGCCACTCACCAGCGCACGCACACGGGCGAGAAGCCGTACCGCTGCCCGTCGTGCCCGTACGCCGCGTGTCGCCGCGACATGATCACCCGCCACATGCGGACACACCTGCGCCGCCCCCAGCCTGCCTGAATGCACTCTCTCTTAAATTACTTTACTTAAATTGAGACTGATTTTTTCATTCCAAAGTTGAACCATTGTTTTGATTGGTGTTTTGTTTGGAAGCCCCGCCAGAGGCCGCGTGTTGGTAAGACATATCTCATTGCTCCGCAGAATTATTGACTTGACTGCGATTGTGTGTTGCCAGTTTGCGATTTAAAGATGTTTGTGCCGCAGCGATGTCAATTGAGTCTGCTGTGCGCAATGCGATGTGTCGATTCTTAAGCTATTGAAACTATGTTCGAGATTTGCTTGTTTTACATACTTAGTTATTCCAGTTTATATGAAAAATTGGTCTGTCATTGTTTTTACATTATAATCACAACAAATTGTTCTGTGCCATCCATATTGCAGCTTTTTATTGTTTGCGTTGTTAATAAAAATGAATATATTAATATTATCTGATTAGGTATTACAAGTCTCCACAATAAATTACACAGGTAAATTATGTTTTCGTGCCTGCAATAAGTAAGTACCTATTTAAGTAAGATTGTTTTATAGGATGTGTTGTGTAGGAAATTCTTGTTTTATATTAAAACTCGTCAAAAGTTATTGTTTCGTATTAATTGTAAGAATGTTTTGTTAATAACTTATTTAAGTAAACTTACTTATAATCCTTGAACAATTCGAATTTAGTATACCTAACTGAAAATATTTAAAAAAGTGTTAATCTTGTTATTTGATTAGGTAACATTCCGTTCCGCTGCGTAGGTAACACAAATTTATAATTAATTGTACTTTTTACTTTATCGTTTATTATTATATTACGTTTTTTTTATTTTGTGTTATTACCTACGTACTAAATAATGTTTAGCGTCGGGATTTGATGCAAATATGGTTCATCGAAATAACTTGGACTCATATTACTACGTAGGTACCTAAAACAATTCATTTTGTTGATGAAGGTACCTACATTAATGATTCGCACATCGGTAGTAACGTTTAAAAAAAAAAACAAAAAATACGTAAATTTTGACAAAAAGTTATTTTATTCCTAACAGCTTAAAATTAAAGTACCTATACAATCGTAACAAGAAGAAAGTCAAAGAAGTCCGTTTTGAAAAAATATAAGGGTAGTCAACGACTAATGTTGTAGTAGGTAACCAACTCAGTAGACTTGATAATTAAAAACAGAAAAAAAATAGTTACATAATGTTTTTGTGTTATTGCCGTGTATATAGCTTTAGTGTATGTAATACACACACACACACATTTTTACATTCGCTTAAATATTATATTATTATGTAGGTGTTATTTCAATGTGTGCTCAGCTTCTCCATTAGTTTATCTCTCTACTTACTTATTACAATTTATTTGTTTTCTTGTGTGCTGTTGAAATAGATTCGATCCCTCATTTTGAGTGCTATAATAGTACAACAGTTTTCTTTTAGTTTTTATTATACATCTCTTTAACTTAGCCCTTAAGTCACTAGTTGTTATTACAATCATTTTCAACAATTTGCTTTCAACTCTTACCAAATATTGCTCTATTAGGTATAAGTAAAGTATCAGTACTTATCAGTTTGTGAAACTATTAATGTTAGATACATACAAACATGTCAGTAAGAGAAGAAAATGATGACATGGATACAATTATCTAGATTTCTTTTGGGTCGCCATGAAACCCATAATTTGTCTTCTCTCGCTTATGATATGGCGAGAAGGAAAGTCAGATTCTTGCTTAGGTACTAAAAACCCCGCGTTCCTTCACCTGCTCAGGCTGAGGCCGTCGTACCTTATTGCGCTTGACCCGCAATCCCGACTTACGTAATAAGTATCGAGATCCCCAACTCAATCTATCTATACAGTACTTAATTGTTAAATGTTAGACTTTTGAAATAGCAGTAGGTACCTACATTCCTCATTGCTCTCTAATAATGCTTTCTCCCTCTTTTTTTCGGGGACAGTCATCAAATGAGTTCCGAGGGTCTTCCGACTCTTGCTGACTAAACCCCCCGTTCCTTTCCTGCTCCGGGCCGAGGCCGCGGTGCCTTCTTATTGCGCTTATCCGACAACCCCGGCTGATATTGCTTGCTTTATACAGGTACTTAATGTTACACTGTAGTGTGTGAGTGGCTTATAAAATATTTGTTTACGTCGACGACGTCCCTAAAAGGAACTAAAATTATGATTTTTAAAGACATTTTATTAGTTATTTTGTATTTATCTTAATTAATGTGCTAAGGTGTTCAGATATTTTAAATTTAAGTTTTAGATTTCTAAATAATCGTTTTGGTTACGCTTTGGTGCGTCAGAAAATAATTTGGTTATCGAAACGGGCTAGTACCTATAGTCACATCATTGGTTAAAAAATATTTTATTTGGGCAGTCTAAACTGAGTTTTTCATTGTGTTCAAGTGTAGATCGGAAATATTGTAGTCAAAATATTTTCTGATGCATCTATGTAAGCTTTGCGCCAATATTCACGTTGACTTTATGGCTGTATCTTCCTATTACTTGTTCCTAACTGTACAAAAACTAAAATTAGTTACAAGGTCTTCAAAGTACCAACTTATATGTGCGGGTGGACAAAATTGGAACTAATGTAAATGTAAATAAAAAAGTGTTTAACTAACACACTAGCGCCACAGCGAAGGAAAGAACTAAGTTGGACAACTTTTGACAGAGACTACTTTTTGTATTTTTATTTTTAAATAAATAGTTTTCCTAGTACTTACAAACTTTGCTCAATTTAAAAGTCAACGTGTCTATTAGTTGTTACTAGAATTATTAATTAATTAAAATTAAGTTTTACTGTGATAAAAAATGATTTTGTTTTCAAACTGCTGTGTTTGACAATATTTATTGTCTTATGATTTAAAAAATAAATGAACGTATAAAATAAATATCTTTTTGTTAAATTATTGCCTCCTCTCCTTACGCATAAACCAACCGCTGGTGATCTATCTGACGGATGTGAGAGAAGGGATATCCTTAGTTGAGAAGAGAAGCAGGTAGGTAACTTTATTTTGTTTAGGGGGAACCTTCAAAAGCCTTAGCTCTCTGGGGCGAAAGACTAGGGAGTGTAAGGTTTCTACTTAGAACTTCGCTAGAACCACCTGTACCTTAAGGACACCAGGTCCTAGGACAGGCCAGAACATCCCTCGTTGTACAAAGCGGCACGAGCCTTCGTCATCCCTGAGGTTACTGGGTGTGTGCCTAGTGACGTCGCTCCATGCGCACATGGCCTCAAAATTTAACCTGCTGCAATCTGCCATCGCCAGATGCAAGCAACATGCAGAAGCAAGTGTCTTGGCGCCTATGAGTAGACTCACTTTTCTGAAATTGTCTTTCTCTCCCAGCATAGCCTTAACTAATGCTGTTAGAGAATAATCTTCGTGTGATCATGGCCACCAGGTGCTCAGAGGCCCATTGCCATTTCTGTGCCCACCCTGAACACTCTTGCTCAGGCACAGATTGTCTCTTCCTGCGATGGCTGTAGCGTAAAGAAGATAGGTAGATACAAGATCTTCATCAGAAGCTTCACGGTTCCTGTCGCTCCGACCATGGCCTTGACTAGAGCCGGACGCGAGAGGTCGCCGCCGCCGATCACTGCCCTCTGATGACACGGCGGTGCTCAGCCTAAAATCCACATCTCTAGATATGTTGATGGATTTCAAGCCATGTGATTGGTGAATCGCGGCACAGCTCTTCTCCGCTCCGCCTCAATGGAACTGCACCCTAAGTAAGGCACACCGCCACCGTTTGTTCCACCATACCCTACGGGAGGTTTGAATTAGGTAGGTACTTGAGAGTAGTCAAATCCAATAGATTAAGTACCTACTTACTTTCATGAAAATGAACTGGGAAACTACGAAAATCATATCATTTATCGAATACTAGCTACTCTCGCGCGGTTTCACCCGCTGCTCGATTCTATTTAATCGTAGCGTGATGTTTTAAGCCTATAGTACTCAGGAACATTGTAGCTATCTATCAGTGAGAGAATTTTGGTAATGCGACCAGCGGTTCCAAAGATTACCTACCACCTACATACAAACATACAAACTTACAAATTTTACCTTTTTATAATATTAGTACCTATAGAAAAGTATGCTCACTTTTTTCTTGACTTAACTTAGCCAATGAAAACCGGGTGGTAAGATCATTTTTAACTACCTGTTCATGAAGGCGATAATATGATATGTTAAAGTGTGGGAGAGCCATTCTTCGGCACGAATGGGTCGGCTCAACCGGAGTGATACCACGGCCTCACAGAAAACCGGCGTGAAACAACCACAGCGTTGTGTTTCGCCGTGTGAGTGAGGTTACTGGAGGCCCAATCCTTCTCCTCCCCCTATCCCTAATCCCTAAAAGGTCGACAACGCACTCGTAACTCCTCCGTTGCGGGTGTCCATGGGCGGCGCTGATTGCTTACCATCAGGTAATCCGTCTGCTCGTTTGCCGACGTATTGCATGCAAAAAAATTTAGATACCAATAAAAGCAATTTATTAGGTAAAAAAAGATATTAATACTTACCTAGCAATTTTTTTTATTTGTCAGTTTGTTATACTTGTTCTCACTAGCGCGTCTCGTGTAAATGTCATAACAAGTTAATTCAAACATACTGTACCTATAAGTAGTGGAAGATAAACTACTTACCTACCTACTTATTACTAAACTGTTCTTCTACTTCGGACACCAATCTAAGCAAAATTGTATTGACTTGTTTGAAATACATATCTAATGCTATGTAGGTACTTACATTCTATATAGTGCATAGATACCTACCTACTATAGGTATAATTAGCAATCTGCCGCATAAAACCCATTATGCCGAACTCGAACCCACATCACCCAGAAGCTCCAGCCGGTGGCATGGCTAGTAAGGCTAGCACAGATCAACATATATCGACAGCGGACTTGTAACTTTCCTTCTGTTCCAGGTTATGATAGGTATGCACTGTGGGTATGCATCATACGCATGAATGTCACAGATGGCGCTGTTCACAAAATTACAAATTAAATACATACAAATAATATTTACCAATCTATTTTAAAAGGACTGGCAAGGTTGTACCTACATATTTATACTTAGATACCTATACCTATACGTAGGCAATTAAATTATTGTTCTACATCAAACTCAAAGCGTGGTCATAACCTAAATATGTACCTACCTACATTGTTACAAATTAAATCTAGACCAAAATACTCTAGACACTAGGTAGGTCCCTAACAATAGATAATTCATGATTTCCATTTGTAAAAGTCGCATACAATGGTAGACATTGAAAGATGTATATCTACCTACACGATTACCATTTTTTATCTTATTAGGAATTGGTTAGTTCCTTTCAAAAACTATTTTAGTAAAGTAGGTACCTAGTTTTATTCTTTTACTTGTGTACCTTAGATTGACAAACAAACAGGATACGAAATATACAATGGAGTGTAAGGAGAGCTAATAATTATACTTGGGCACGAATGAGCCTGTTTTACCGGCACACCGGTTTTCTGTGAAGCCCTGGTATTACTCTAGTTAAAGAGGGCCCATCCGTCGTTCCCACAAGAACCTAATATCAAAACATTATGTTCTCAACGTAAAAAACTACATCAAAACATTCAGAATCACAGTTTTTGGCACGATCGTTACGGCACATTCCCTTCGTCTTCTTGTAGGCAGCTAGGGCATTCCGTGACCACTCTGCCACCACCACCATAACGAGCGAGCACGCGTTATATGCAAACCAGGTCAGCTCCACAGTGGAAGCCTATTTATTTTATACCTACTTACTATTTTTTAACTGACTCCATTATCGATCAGTTCAGATATAGAAGTGTGCCCATGCTTCGGCCAATGACGTATTATATATAGACACGTCATGAACCAACATCGCGGCGCTTAAAAACGGCGAAAATACTAGATAACTAATTCTACGAGTAAAGAAAGGGAAAGAAAATATGACATCGTATAGTGGAATGCCTTTGCTAGAGGGAGATAAATATACATCTTCAGTTATGACGACGGCACGTGACTATACCTTCATGCGCCGGCCGCCATAAGATGGCGGGCGCCGGCGTCGAAAAAAATAAAATAAAAAAAAATAGGTTGTTTGGTGAACTTACGCATGAAATGGCACATTTTTGTCTTTAACTTTTGGAGTATAATTTGTACATCGTCTGAACACACACGACGACATGCTTGCTTTATGTTTCGCACAGGTTTACACACACGATATAAATTAAAAACAAACGTAGCGTCGCGCGGCAGGTTGGTGCGTAACTAAGCGCGATGTTGTCAATTGCCTTCATTTCATGTTGTCATTTTAGAGCGCGGACAACGTATCTATAGTTTTATACATCATTGGCTTCGGCACGAATAGATCGGCTCGACTCGACCGGAAAGATACTACGCACAGCCTCACAGAAAACTCGCTTAGAACATCCACAATGTTGTTTTTCACCAAGCGAGTGAGGTTACCGAAGGACAAATTCTTCCCCTCCCCCAATCCGGGTTGGCAACGCACTTGTAACTCCTCCGTTATTGCGAGTATCCATTCCATTGGCTGTGATTGCTTACTATCAGGTAACCGTTTACTCATTGCCGTCCTATCACATTTTTTCTGTCATAAGCAAACGAGATGACGGATTACCTGGTGGTAAGCAATCAGCTCCGCCCATGGACACTCGAAATACCAAAGGAGTCACTACAAGTGCGTTGCCGACCTCTTATATGTTATTAGGGATTATAGGATAGGGGATTTGTGGATTGAGGAGAGGAGAGGATTGGGCCTCCAATAACCTCATTCACACGGCGAAACACATCATAAATGCCGTGGTTTCTCTCCAGTTAAGCCGGCACACTCGTGCCAAGCATGGCTTTCCACACTTAAAAAAAGAACCACCATCACGTCGCAACAAAACTCGCTGGACTGTAAAGCGTGGGTGACAAAGAGAATATAAGCACTACGTTTGTAGGTGACTTCAAATCATTAGGGTAGGTATCAATGTGGTATCAATGTTTGCTAAACCCCCATCATTACTATGGACTTACGTAGTCCAGATTTGTATACTTACGTATTACAAATACTGTATGACTTTTTAAAATTCCCAGAAATAATTTCACTCTAGATGGCAAAACGTAAACGTAGCTAAGAAAGTTATTGGCATTATATTTAATACGGCGGCTTCCGCCTACCACTCCATGAGCACAGGACTTAACAAATGAAGACTAGACAATAAATATTTTTCACGGAGCCTTTATTAATACTTTGAGAACACCAATTACATAATGATCATAATATTGAAAATCGAAATGCTAGCAATGATGCTTGTAGAACATTACTAGAGTTTCCGCAAACCTGCTTAGGTTTGTTGCAATAGGTCAATGGATCAGGCAACTTTAGGCAACCAAATCAGACATTGGGCTATTGCCTACATCTACATAATTACATTGATGAACTACTACATTGAGTACAACACCAATTGAAATGTAATATTTAATAAACCAGCCTTAACAATCTTCATACAAGTTGAAGTTACCATCCCATACCTTCTGTCCACCACACTGGGAAAGTGGGAACACATTCTTATGCCATTATTCCTCACAATTCAATCCATTTCCATCATCAGAATTACACCTATGAATATATAACTGCATGCCCTAATGGCAGCTTACACAACAATTGATTAATATTTTGAGGAATGCCAATACATTTCTCTGTAGATAAGAAAAAGTGTTTCCCTAATAGCTACACATAGGTAATTATACTAATGTAATTTAATAATATAATATCATAAAATTCCAGCATGTCCTCTGCCCGGGCAATCTTTTGTCTTGTTTCAATTTGATATATTTTGAGTAACTCCAAATGTGTTCCCTAATGGTAACAAACATTGCATAAATTAGTTGAATCTTACACTAAAAATCCAATAGGTACATAATTAGCCTTATTCGCAATAACATTAAATTAGACATTGATTATGTGTATTGAATTATTTGAAAACTAGAAGCTAACAATTAGCATGTGATGAGTACAATCATTATTCTTAGTATTCTCAATCGTAAGTATATCACCTGACTAAAACATCTTGACTATATTTTCCTCATTAAATATAACTTGATTAAGTACAAACATTAGCATTAAGGGTCTTTGATATAAAAACCCATTAAGTACCAAGATTCCAGTTCAACTCATCAATAAGTTGAACAGGCCAGATTTGAACATATATCAATTATTATAGGCTTTGAAATATCATTACATAGTACTGATATAATTGATAAAAATCAGTATAGGAAGATTAATTACTGAGAGTATTAATATAGACACCAATACTTTTAAAAAAATCTAGACTACTAGCTGAATGCAAAGATGTTACAATAATGCCTTTGAAAGGAAGTATAACTAGATAATTTGCACACAACTAGCAGACCTCCACCTCCCCAATTCAAAAAACATGTAAAGGGAGAGGTCACCTCCAGTAAGGCAATGGTACATTATTTTTAATGAAACCATTGAGCTACTTTTGCTTCCATCATAAAGATAAATTTAATAAATAGACAGTCATGTATTTAATATCTACTAAACAGTCTTTCCTTTCCAATTGGCTATCACTGAAGATCACAACACAACACTACCCCAGCCACCACTGTGATTCTTCAGGCAGGAAATAAGTTTCCTAGCCCTAGCACTTCGTGCAAAACCATGTTTTCATACATTGTGGGACTTACTCCGGTTTTGTTGTTATCATGGATAAGTTTCAATTTCTCACTGATCACAAATGGCGTTATTGGCATAACCGGAACAACGCCATTTGTGGGCGGATCCTAGAATCTTCTACGATCCCTGACCCGCTTTCGGACTGGGCGGGGCTCCACTTTGCCAGCGCTCTGCATTACAATCCAGAAGTGTTCATCCATAGTTGAAACTAGACCTGGTGGCATGTTCTCCAAAAACTTCAATCCTGACTCGGAAGTAGCAAGCATCCTTGCAGCGTTGACCAACAGGGAGGACTCCCAAGATGAAGCATATGTCAGTCTTAAGGCTGACAATGCAGCTGTTGAGCTCACCATGGGGTACAATGTCTTATGACGAAGCAGATCAGTGAATGTAAGCCCCTGTGGCTCACGGTTGAGATAAAACTCTAAAGTGCCACGAAACATGTCCACCATGACTCCTATAATAGTACCCTTGCAAAATCCAGGGCAATCATCAACTATTTCTTTGTTCTGGCAAATGGCTCCTGTGTATGACAGGCCATAAGAATCATGACTATTCCCAATACAGGATGTGTAGTCACGGACAGACTCTGGAACATTTCGGGTACCAACACCCACCATTACATCTGTCCCATAAGGATGGGTCATCATCTTCACTTCCCAGTAATAGTTAAAATTGCGCTTTAACACAATATTTCCCCTGACGGTAGCAGATCCAGAACTGAACAAGGGATGGAACACGACAAGCTTCTGATCTTCGAACAAGTCAGCCCACCTGGGAGACTTTCGCGGCAATTTCCAGCGCCAATCAACAACTTCGCGTTCCTCACCACAGCCACAGTCTGGGTCGCCCGGCTCATCCTCGTCCTCACTTTCCCAGCAGTCGCAAAATCGCTCCGGCAATGTTTCGTTAACATATGGTGTTTTCTCTTTCGATTCACCTTCTGCCATTTTGAGAAATAAAAATAAATATTTTCACCCAACAGTACACCAGGCTCGGTCGGATAAAGAAATAGACTGAGCCCGGGTAACCGGCGCGAGCTAAGGGAGGGCCGGGCGGCGGGCTGATGCAGGGAAGTGAGGTGCGCGGAGTAATGAAGACGCCCGGTGCATGAAAGGGTGCAGGGGGTGCAGAGTAGGTATTCTAGTGAAAATCAATAATTTCCAACGACTATAAACCAGTTTGGGGTTCACATTCCATGTTCCATGATGTGAATAAATCTATAGTTGCATTTTTAAGTACATACATGTAGTTGTCAAAACTAAAAGTAAAGTATTTGTCTATTGGCAAACGATTTCACACAGTTGGTTTAAGATTTCGTTAAAATATTTTATGATTTTGAAGAAATATTTAATCATAATACCTAGAACGAACAAATGTAAAACATTTTATTTAGGTACTATACAAGTAAACTATCTCTTTCCATCATTTCCGTAATTTCCGTTTCAGTATTTGACAAATTAATTGACATTGTCACTCCTGTTGTCATTTCTTTCAAATGTCATCCTAAATCAAGTTTCAGTGTTGCCAAAAGTTTCAACAAACCTTCGCACAAGCTACTCGTTTTTTGACGTTGGCAACCAACGAAAGTTTATTCAAAGTACAGATAGACGTAAAAGGCAGTAGCAGACCAAACACAAGCTAAAAATTCTGACAAAACACAAAAAAAAAAATTGTACAGGACCGAACTAAGGTAGGTACTAGAATAAAGGACGTGATACACGTTTATTTTTAATAGCACAAAGAATGTTTTGTTTTAAATTGTGACTTAAAGAGTAAATTGTAGTTCAATCTTTATTCATGTTTAGTTTTTTTACAAATTAGAAACGGGTCCAGTTAAACTGGTGTGGTTCTTTCCTCAAAAAATCACTACAGAATGAACTTTCACAGTTCTTTCACATTATGACTTTAGATCGTAGCGTGATGTTATTTTAGCCTATGGCCTTCCTCGATAACTGGACTAACGAACACAAAAGAATTGTTCAATTCGAACCAGTAGTTCTGGATAATAGAGCGTTCAACAAACTCTTCAGCTTTATAAAATTAGTATAGATTATAAGTCTAATTTGGTATGACGTAGAATGCTTACTATGTATAAATTGATTTCAATTTAAAGTTCAAAATAAATTATTGAACCATATTTTAACATGTTGGTGCTCTAAATAAAAGACATGTAAATAGTACTATAGGTAATACCTACATCCTTCAATCTATATTACCGACCTTAGTACGGCTCTGTTCGACTTTTTTTTTTACATATACCTAATTGTGTATTGGGCTCACAATTTTTTGCTATCTGTATTACACAAAGTAATGCTTCGTTTAGTGTTTGAAGTGTAACTTTGAACATTCTTTACCTATACTATACCTATTTTATTCAAAAAACACAAATTGTGCAACAATTATAAATATGTTTATGTCTTTATAAAACTCAATTTTTAACACCGCCACCTAGTTTTGCGATACAGTAAATATAATTTTATCATGGCAACATTTGGCGCTAGTTTTCATAGGACCTGAATTCGGCATTAGAAGTTTGTAGTTCTCGCGGCCGCCATTTTGGCGTCACTATCGCACTGTAGGAGGAAAACGAATTGATTGAAACGCCCTCATTGAGAAAATATAGAAGCTCAACTAAGATACAGGTAAATTTTAACATTTTGCTGTTACTATTGTGAACTACTGCACATTGAATTCGTGATAAAATAAATTCCAGAAAACTTATGGATTGAATTGGTGTTAGTGACGATATTAATATGTGAAAAGGTGTAATTTCCCTGTAAAGCCGTGTCTTGAGTATTGACTGACGCTAGCGCCGTCTATCTTTTCGTTTCCAATCTGTCTGTGGCGGTAAATTGCTCGTAATTGTATATTTTGTTATGTTTTTTAGTTAGATAACAAGCAAATGTTAAAGAATGGAAATTAATATCGAAAACTTCTAAACACGTTGATAAAATGGCGGACTGATAGTGCGAGAAACATAAGACTTCGATGTATGTAGGTTTCTATTCCAACGGAGAAAGCAATCATTTGGTTTATTAAAGTTTTACTTACTACTTTAATCAGATGATTGTAAACTAATGTTTTGGAAGCTGTTTAATGTATCTTGCTGTATGGTAATCTCCAAAGTATGACATACTAAAACAAAGCAGTCATGACACTACTGTAAGTTTATCAAATTGGCAAAAAAATACATGCACACAGATGTCTTAAGTAATTTAAATACCATTGGCCTAAAGAAAAGATGAAACGTTAATATACAATCAACATATTTATTAGAATGTAAGCAAAGTAAGAAAAACAAATCAACAACAGATTGTTTACTGGACTCACCCTGCACTTCTGCAAAACAATTGGTATAAAAATTGGTTTATTACAGGTAATGATTGTTTAAAACATTTTTCTTACATACAGTTCAACAAGTAGGCAAATTATTATACATTATACCATATCAAACAAATCTATCTTTAAGGGTGTTTTGGAAGGAGAAATCTATCTCCGTGCTCTCCAGTAACAAATGTTGACATTATCTTTATAGTTAATTATTCAATTAATAATATAAATACTTATATTTTTAAAAATCATATAAATTGGTACATAATAATATAATTAAACAAATACATGGTCTTTTCAAAAAAAGAAACAAAATGTTTTTGCATACCTAATGTTTACTTACCAATAAAATTGTTTAGTGTCTCAAATATATCTCAATTATGATATCTAAGAAATAACCATATCACATTGAATGTTTGAACCTTTATTTCATTGGTAATTTTTCAACATGTCCCATACAATTCCTAACTACTTTTTGAATTATTACTTGTTAATAGATTCAAGTGGTTACATAGATGAAGTTATTAAAATTTAATTTAAGATTTATGTTGAATATCCACCCCTTTAAAAGATAATTTGAGTGAAGCTACAACATTGCAAATAATTTACCTTTGATGCGACCTTGAACCACCCTTTGTCAGCCTTCATTCATTCTAGTTTCTCCCTAAATGTTACAACCAATCAGAAGGTGGGATTTAAATGAAAGTACTGAACTTTCAAACAAATATAGCAAATAAGTTAACCCTTTAATTTGAGATGAAATAATGGGGTCCCGGTTATCTCCCCTCAACCGCTGTGTTGTTCTATGTATTAATACTAGCCAGTGTCGCTGTGGGCGCGATACTGGCCGCCTGTGTAGATATGTCCGACACGGCGATAGGTAAGCGTGATATTTTAAATTACTAAATATCAAGTTATTTTTGGAAAACAAGTGTAAAACCTCTTTTATTGCTTTCTTAACTTAAAAATCTCTTTTATCTTTGCTTCTTCAATATCAGATAAATTATTATGTTTATTTGTTGACTCAAAATCAATACTTATTACAAACTCAATGCACAATAGTTCTGCCTTAGTCTGAAATTTAAATGTATGCAAATATATGTATTGTGGTATAAGTGGAGAGGTGCATACTAAGATAAATCTGATGGAAATCAACAATAGGATAACCTAAAACATAATTGTATCAGGAATACATTATTTTCAGTGTGGTTATTTTTTAAGGTGATTGTGTAGTGATAAGGAATAATGATGTAGCATTTTTACATAAGGTGGGTTGTCAACATTATCTCTGCTTATATTTATTTATTTATTTAGTTTTTCTCATAACAATAAGCTGGGTTTAGTACTATAGGATGGTTATCATTGTTGACCTATATGTATAATTAATTTGGTTTTTAGAGAAGGGAGGTTCATTTGCAATGTTATGATTTAAACTGTTCATTATTTAATTGGTTCTGTATGTAACTAAAGAAATAAAACGTTAAGCAAACCAGAACACTTGTTGCTTGCTGTGATTGTGTGAGTAATTGGGAATAAGTTATTTGCACAATATTATTGAAAGTGATCAAGCAAATTATGCCTGAAATAAATAGACATGAATGACAAATATTTTCTAAAAGTGCTGTATTAGACAACAGAAGATGTAAGTGTGTATGAACAACTGTGTACTAGATAGTAATTATAAAATCATTTTAACTGTCTTCTTCTGGCCATTGACCAACATAAACAGTGGTTGTTTATAGAATCTAAAGGTACCTACTAGAGTTCTGATTTGTTAATTAACTAAGAGACCCACAGTTAACCATGGAGGAATCTGCTAGCGTCAGTCCATAGCGTTTGACGTGAAAAATACTTATTTTAAGTGAACTTCAACACTATTGTGTTCTCCATAAATCTTACCACATGTAGACAAATATTATCGAGAGTTATTTATTTGTAACATGTATGCTCCTTGTTTTAGTCTGGCCTGAGGGCCTGGTTTGCGAAATAAAGATAGAACCTAAAAAGAAAGAAGAAAATCAAGCCAGCCTTATCGGTCAGGTAAACCCTAATAATTTCGGATACATACACCTATTTCCATCCTCTGCCCTTAGAGGCGAGGGTGCGACTATTCAGGTGCATCCGGCGAGCCGGGAAAGCTTGGTATGTCCAGGCAGTGTGGCAGGTCAGGTGACACCAAACTACCGAAAGAACTTTACTACTAGGTCATATTTTATTGGCCCTCATAGGAAGATCATCACAGATCCAGACCCATGGTACATAAGACGTCCCAGAACGAAGCCTGTTATTAAAATACACCAAAATATTGTAATAGCACCAGCCCGCGTAGTGGATCAAAAGGCACCGCCCAGTAAGGAGAGACTGGCTAGTCAATATTCCACGAATGAAGGAAACTTCAATCAAGATGATCATGAAAATTTGATACAAGATTGTCGCCAGTCAAAGCAATATTTTTCAAACAATAATATACAACAAAATAATCAGCAGCAGGCTATTATTAAAGACGGTAACGGAAATCTGATTAACCAAAGTCCTAAAGATAATCAGGACCTTACCCAGAAGTTTCTTGAACGTTGCGATTTTGCGAACCAAGACAATGTCAACCAATATCATCGGGAGAGCCTGATACAAAAGCAACCGGTTCGCCAAGATTCTGCGAACCAACAAAACAACAGACGAGACAACCAAGGTGATTTGATACAAAAGTATTTGGTTCGCCAGGCTTCTGCGAACCAAACTAACGTTAATCAAGGAAACCAAGAAAGTCCGATACAAAAGCATCTGGTTTGCCAAGATCCTTTGAACCAAAATAACGTCGACCACGATATAAACAAATACCTGATTCGTCACGATTCTGCGAGTAAACGTAAACTTGGGCAAGATATCCAAGAAAACTTGTTGACAAAATCTACAAAAGACGTCCGACAGGAGGATCTGTTTGATAAGCAACTAATTCGCTACGATTCTGCAAAAAAAACTTACGAAGGACAAGAAGACCCACTGGGCCAGTACTCAGTACAGGGAGACATTGTAAAGAAACAAAAAATTGGACAGAAGAACTCTGTTAACAACTGCCTGATTCGTCACGATTCTGCTAAGAAAGATAACTCCAGACCAGAGGACATATTAAATAAGCCCTTGGTGCAGCATGATTCTGACGAGCAAAATAGTGTTGGTTACGAGAACCTGTTAGACAAGTTCTTGATTCGTCGTTCGTCTCTGGATAACATTGACCAGGAAAACGCACTACGCAAGCTGCGGGCTGATCACCATTCCACTAAGAAACATAACATTGACCAAAAGAGTCTGGTGAACCAGTACGTGGCACAACACGACTTTGCGAAGAACGATAACTTTGGACAAAAGGAACTGTTAGACAAGTATTTGTTCCATTACAGTTCTGCTAAGAAAGACAAACCCGTACGGGAAGAGTTAATAGACAAGTATTTGGATTGTCACTTTACTCGGAGGACGGGAAACGACGAGACTATAACAAACGAATTTGTGGTTCCTTATGATTCGGTAAAGAAAGATAACGACGATCAAAGGGACTCAATAGACAGGTACCTTCTTCACGATCCTGGGAAGAAAGATAACTTCAAACAAAAGAGCACAATAAACGAGAACGTGTCACATCACGAATCTGGAAAGAAAAATTACGCGGGACAAGAAGACCCATTGGACAAGTACTTGGTGCAGCACGACCGTGCAGAGAAAAACGATATTGGTCATGAGGACCTGATAGACAAGTACTTAATTCGTCACAACTCTACAAAGAAAGATAAGTCCAAGAAATACAAAAATAGTAAGCAGAGTACAGTGGTACGAGAGGCCCACCACGACTCTGCAAACAAAGATATCATCAGTCAAGAGGACCCAATAGACAAGTACTTGGTCCGGCATTATTCTGCAAAGAATGATAACGTTGGGAAAGAGAGCGTACTAGACAAGTACTCAGGTCACAACGATTCACCTGCCACATCTTACTCGATTGAACAGGCTTCTTCCAATTTACAAAACGTCGTACAAGAGAACCTGATTGACAAATACATGGTTCGTCACGACTCAGCAAAGAAAGCTATTGCTATTCCCCGATTAACTACAAACAAACATAAAATTGTTAAGAAAAACGAAGAGAGCTTAGTTGACAAATACCTGGCTCGCCACGATTCTAATAATAAAGATAACGAACAAGAAAGCGTATTGAACCAGTACCTGGTTCGCCACGAATCAACAAAGAAAGATAACGTCACACACGACAAACAAGAAAGCGTAAGTATTTATACCAGCACACAACTCCTAGCAGTAGATTTCATATGACCCCAAAGTTATTTCAGTTGTCCTATTTACTAACAATAAGTTAAGATTTTTACTAACAACATGAAAATTTAATATAAATTGTAATTTGATTTTTAATAAATAAATAAATAAAAACCGTAAAACATAACTCAGATGTGCTAAGACAATTAGACAACTGAGTTCTTTTATTTACACCTTTGGCCAACCGTTTCTGTAGCATATAAGGTATCTCAAAACTCGGCTTGATATGGATCCTTTTATGCCACTTGTTTCACACATATTTAGGTAACAGAGCATAGCATATGAAGGCAGTGTAGGTGCGATAGTTTTATTTATATATAACACTTAAGGATACCCAAAATATTTCAGGAGTGCGTGGTTCACCAGGATTTAGCTGAACAAACAAATCAAAGGAATTTGGCGGAAAACGAATCCACAATGCCACCTCCTGACAAAAAGGATAAGAAGCAGCAAGCTTTGCTTCAAACTTACTTGAATCCAGGAACTGCTGCTACAGTCATCGCAGGTTAGTTAGAGAAATGGCATACGACCTTGTTTCTAAGGTCTATAAATTAAAAAGACCTGAATTGGGTGTAAAATCAACAAATGACTCCCAGCCATGGATAAAGCTACATACTCATTACTGACTAAAAGCCACTCATTTCCAACTCTTGTTTTTCTCACGACCTCGACATGGTAATATGAAACTTCGTTAAAGACACAAGTCTAGAGACAATTAAACTTTTTACAGAAAACATAATTCATATGTAAAAACAATGCACTTTAATTTTTACAGTAAATGCTACTGATGAGAAAGGTCTGTCTTCTGGAATGGTAGAGTATTTTGTGGACGAAGATGGCAAATACTACTATCAGTCGACGGTCGATGGCCAAGCTCTGGTCATGAACACACCGGCAGTCAACCAGGATGAGGTATTAAAAAGAATTCTAGAACTTGTATTTTTTCTAAAAAAAATAATGTTACAAGGGGCCTTCCAGTCTTTTGAAGGATTTGATGATTGTGGGCTTAGTAGCCTCTGTAACTTACTGGCGGTATTAGGTATATTTTAGACTAGCATACGAGAAAATGGGTACACACGATTGTTTTACCATTATAGAAAGTGTTGAGGTAAAATTCCCAATACTTAATATTAAAATATAAAGGCAATTGTACCTACCTAATAATTCGCAAAATGAACGTTTGTGTGTCAAAAATGCTTGTTGTGTAAATTACTTATTTGGGTCACTAGACGGTGTAACGTGAAGTCGGTTATCACTTTAGTTGTAAAAAATGTAATGCTTTGATATAAAATTTTATTGGATTAAAAATAGCATAGTAATAATCATTCGCTATATCCAAAGAGGGTGGGTGGCCGGGAGACAATTTAATCGATCGCTGCGCGCATTGTCGTATACTGGGGGTGTAGGTAGGTGAAAAAACCTCGGGGTCGACTCATGGCAAATTGCTTTAATTCTGATAACTCCACATTGAATTCTTTAATACTTTTGCGTAAATGAGATTGAAAAAGACACTATTCATACACAATTGGTTTTTAGTAGACTTAACCATATATTATTTGCATACATGACAGTTTTTTATGGAAGTATGTATAGGCATGTGATCTTTTTGGTGAGGTTCTATTTGTATAGTTAGCGTTTTGATGCCAATACCACTAAGCTGTCATATTAACTAATAGCAATACCAATTTTAGTGCCCATAAATCAGCTTTGTTGAATAACTTTTATTTAATTTTATTTCCAACAAACACGATTTTTTAATACAAGTCGAGTGTAAGATGTCAAGCAATATATAATAAACTGGTAACATCCTGCTATTTAAAGTAGTGTTTGTACAATTAATAGTTGTCAAATATTGAAGATCCTATGACATAAAATAGAAAATAGTGAATTGACTGAAGAGATGTATAATAAAATAGATTACAAAGAAATAGAGAAATTTTAACCTGGCAGTTAATCATAAGATGGCAGCAGTATGACTACAGTAAAATTTGTAAAACAAATTAAAACTTCATCAGACTGCTGAAACATCAGATGCAATTATGGCTGACCCTGGAGACACTTTCCAGACTGTTACCTTCGTACCCTCGGAAAACAATGGAGAGGTCAGCTATGTGCTGGTCGTGCAGGAGGAGAAGGCTGTTGTCAACATTGATCTCAAGGTACCAGTACAGGTAGGATGCACATTTGTAACTAACACCCTCATTTCTGGGCTGTCCTATAAGTAGCCTGAGACTGAATAAAAAGAAAGTAATCTTTTTAATAATTATAAAAACTTGGCCGAGGGCTCTTTTCAACATTGTTCACTCTGCTTACTCAAGAGAGATTCAACAAATTCTGTTCACAGTATAGTTCCATCACAATAACTATTTTTAATATTGATTTATATCTTCATATATGTATTTTGCATTTGTATGTGCCGGGTTTTTAACATTTACTCTTAACTGTGTTTATGAGATTGTTATAGATATGGCTATATTTTTTGGATAATTGTTTTAAAGTGCACTTCCGTAGCCCATAGATTAAATAAAAATAATTATGATAACTGAATTAAAATTTTACTTAAAATGGTGAAAATAGTGGATCAGTCTTACGCTCAACTTATTAGGGTACTCTAATGTTAAATGTTAACTTACTACATATAAATTATTGCTAAATACATACTAACAATATATTCACTATAAACTAATTTATTAATTAGTTTATAGTGAATCATCAACTTATACACCCTTATACCCTTATCATCACTATTTGGAAAAGTTCAAACTAACAAATACACTAATTTGTATAACTATGTTGCAAATATTACATAACCTCACCGCTTATATTTTTACTCAATGCGTAATATTGCTAATGTTATTTGGTAACTTTTTTGCTATTTATGTAATGAAGGAGGTCAAAGTAATAATAAGGGTTAACTGTATTGCCACACTGGAAATACTCTAAAATCAAATACATGTATACCTACACTGCTTCAGTAAATACTGTTGATTGTTATATGCGAAGTCATTCTAAAGGATTACACTGTATCTCAAATTATATTATCAATTAGACGGAGGAGGAGAAAGGCAACGAAGACGTCTACAACTTCGAAGAAGAAGAAGCAGGAGAGGAGGCATCGGAAGGTGAAGACGAGGAGATGGCAGAGGGCTCCACAGCAGCCCCCAAACCAGCACAAAAACGGACCAAGACCCTTAGACCACACTTTACTTGCAATTTTTGCTCCTATACTAGTCATCGACGGTAATTATATAAGATTCTTTCTAGTTAGTGTAATATTGATGTAAGTCACTGGAAAACATTTAATTAATAAGTAATGGCTTCACCAAAGGTGGTATTCTTATCCCTTACTACATGATTAAAAAAAAAAGATTCGGAAAAATCGGTATTTGTATTAAGTAACTAAAGGCCATCATATTTATTTTTGTTTTACAAGAATGTCAGTACTAAATATAATTTTTCGTTGTTCGTTTAGTTACCTGTTACTCCGACACATGAAATCTCACTCTGAGGACCGCCCCCACAAGTGCAGCGTGTGCGAACGTGGCTTCAAGACGATCGCCTCTCTGCAGAACCATGTCAACATGCACAATGGCATCAAGCCTCACGTCTGCAAGTACTGTAATAGCCCCTTCACTACCTCTGGTGAGTTGAAACATATGTAATATAAAAGTACTTGGTTCAAAAGCATTGTAAATTCAACTAAATTTGTTGATATTGTATTGGGACCAGCAAAAAAATGTATGTGTACATATAAAGTTGAGGTGTCTTCATTAGCTTATAAAGTTGGTCAATCATTTCTTATTGTTGTAATTTGAAAGTAATTTTGACAAAGAAATTGTGGTTAATAGTAGTGTTGCTTTCTCAGGTGAGCTGGTGAGACACGTGCGCTACAAGCACACCCATGAGAAACCGCACAAGTGCTCGGAATGTGACTATGCGTCCGTCGAGCTATCGAAGCTACGGCGCCACGTCCGCTGTCACACTGGCGAGCGGCCGTACCAGGTAAACTGACCACAATTCTTGTCCGGTAGTTAGCCTATGACAGTTTACATGGCTTCCTCCAAAAACGGGACATAAAATAATTTACTCTTCTGTGTAACAGGGATTGTATCTATATGCTGCCAGATGGGGTCAAGGGTTCGGGTTTATTAGAAAGTACCTACTGCTGCCCGCCCGTTACTTTCTTGATCTTATTCATAGCTCATCGCTAGCATACTTACACACAGTTTCTGAAAGGCGTTAATAACGCTAAAATTAACTAAGTCTGACTTGACAAGAGATTAAATTGATTTTAACATTGATCGGCCTTTCGGAAATCGGGTGTTAATTCTAGACTATTCTGTTGTATGTTAAAACATGAATTTATCATGTGTTTTTTTACTTATAACTGAACAGCTATTTTTTGTATTTACAGTGTCCACATTGCACGTACGCGTCTCCAGACACGTTCAAGTTGAAGCGCCATCTTCGTACGCATACTGGGGAGAAACCTTACAAGTGTGAGCACTGCAATATGTGCTTCACTCAGTCCAACTCACTGAAGGCTCACCGGCTCATTCACAATGGTTAGTACCCTAATTGTACTCACGATTCACTTGCTAGAGAAAAAAGCAAAACTTTTAGAATTTGTACATTTAAATCTTCCTTAAGAATCGCTGTTGCTGTATAGCCCCTTGAGAAAAATGCATAAAAAGTTCAAAATCTGGCTAATGTTGTTGTAATGGTAAAGTTGTAAATATGTTTTATTAAAGTGTTTAAAGACGTTTAGATATTTATTTGTTCTTTCCCAGTTGCTGAGAAGCCAATGTACTCGTGCGAGTTGTGCCCGGCAAAATGCGGGCGTAAAACAGACCTGCGGATTCATGTACAGAAGCTACATACATCGGACAAACCGCTCAAGTGCCGGCGCTGCGGGAAGTCCTTCCCAGACCGATACTCTTGCAAAGTGCACAATAAGGTAAGTCTGTATTTTCGTAGCGTAAAAATATTTGGTAGCCCTCGTATTAAAATAGATGTCGTTTACAAAGAATGGAAAAAGGGAAAACCTAACAGATTTCCCCTTATACAAGTAATCAATACGGCGTTATAAAGTAAAAGCAAGATATAACAAAATTTATTTGTAAATAAATGTATTTTGTCTTTGTCGGATAGACTCATGAGGGCGAAAAGTGCTTCAAGTGTGACATTTGCCCCTACGCGTCTACTACACTGCGCCATCTGAAGTCTCACATGCTGAAGCATACTGATGAGAAGCCGTTCCTTTGTGACCTCTGCGATCAATCTTTCAGGTCAGTAATAAAGACATTCGAAATTCTATGAAAACACACTAAGACATTACTTACATTTTTATTTGTTTATCACAATATTAAATGTACTCATTAATGAATTAATCATGTTACAGGCAAAAGCAATTGCTTCGTCGCCATCAGAACCTCTATCACAATCCCAACTACGTGCCGAAGCCTCCTAAAGAAAAGACGCACACGTGCCACGAGTGCAAGCGCATGTTCGCACACAAAGGCAATTTGATTCGTCACCTGGCTATCCATGACCCAGATTCTGGTCATCATGAGCGCGCTCTCGCCCTCAAGATCGGCCGGCAAAGGAAGGTCAAGTTTATTGAAGAGGAACCTATGAGGGTGGGTTTATTTCTATGTTATGCTTTGCGGCGCTTATTACAAGCGCAAACGACTCAACTTAGAACAAATTAATATAGAATAGAAAAACAAAATATCATGGCAAATGATTCAGCCTGAAATAATAGATTTTTAGTTTGACTGGTGAAACTAAAAAGTAAAACTAATCTGGTCAGTTTTTGCATTATTTTTACTTACTTGGTTCTAATTTATATAAATATTTATATAGTTTGTAGCTTTCAATTCGTTTTTATAAGGTTGCCTTACATTCTGCTCATGAAGTAAAGCTCAACTGTCAACTCAAGTATAACTCAATAGCTCTAGCTGGCGTATAATGGCTATGCGATTTACTAAAGTATTAAAAATGTGTACTTGGCGATTTGGTCATTCCAATTATTTTGTGTAGCTAATCTATAACAAAACAGCTGCTCAGCGAAATAATTTAGTGCTGCGATATGTGCTTCGTGTTTTAAACCTATATTATACAAATAAACTGGTAAAAGTGTGCTACAATTGCGCTTCTGTTCGGAAGGTTCAGGAATCACTATTACAGTGTACAAACCATATAAAAATACGATTAGTAGTAGTTTTTGAGTTTATCATTCATGTTAATGGCCGCGAAACAGGGAATTCTTTTTTTATGATTTTTATGATATAGAGTAATAACCGCCTTATCAGAAATTCTTAAATTATTGGTTACAAGTCAGCTCTGCGAAGGAATAGCCAAACTGTGTGTTCGATTCACGAGTTGGGCGTAGCTTTGAGCGAAAAAATATTAATTCAGTATCTTGACTACAACGGCTGCAGTGGTCAATGTAATAATGTTTCAAAATGCTCTCATTCTTAATACATAATGTGAAAATGCTATTGCTCCTAAAACTACATTTTATTTTGATTGTGCTATCTTTGCGCTAATTTCCTTTTTGTTTCCTTTGCCACACAATGCGATGGTGCCCCTTAATTTTTTTTAGCTTTTGTTTAGTTTTAGTTTATTCTCATTACTGCTGTTTTGCAACTTTGCTCTGCTGCTGACTTGACTTCTATTTTTTTTTAATAAATGGCTTCATAAATTTTCATTCAGTCATATTTTAGTAAACACATTAATAGCTGTTTTACTTGACAAATATATAATTTAACAATTGATTGCAGTTGCGATGTTGTTTCGAAATGCTCTACGAATGATTATACCTGTTACAATATACTTTTTGTATTGAATATTGTGCCATGCATACTATGTTTTTTCATATTATGAACTCTATCAGCAAGCATAATAGTAATTTTAATGCGATTTTTTTTTGTCAATAAAACACGTTTACACATTCTAAACACGAACTAACATACCAAGTTGGCATTTCCAGGATATCCGTGTGGTCGATTCCTCGGATACAGCAGAGATGATGAAGCTGGGTTTGAGTAATAATGAGCTGAAGCGAGGCGAGCTTGTGACGGTGGCTGATGGGGACGGCCAGCAGTATGTGGTGCTCGAAGTCATTCAGCTGGAGGACGGCACAGAGCAACAAGTTGCTGTCGTTGCCCCAGACTATTTGGATGAAGATGAACAAGGTTTGTGACAGTGTCATATCTGCTTTTACTATGTTGGGCAAAATCTGTTTTTTTCTTATGACATTTATTTTTTATTTTTGCCTAGGAAAAATACGAATAAAACAAATTATTGCGTGAAATTGTAATGTTTTTTAAAATATTTGATTGAATTGAAATATTATTAATACTAGAGTCAACATTCTCTGCCATGTTTCATACTCATTTTATAACCAACTCTTTCAGGAGAAGAGGAAGAGGAAGAAGAGGAGGAAGAGGAAGAAGAGACACAGAGGACTTTTACTGTCAAAGACCCAGTGGCTGAACGGAGCATTAAACTTGAAAAAGAAGTAGACACATGCTTTGGATTCGATGTAAGTACTGTTCAGAATATTTACCAACAACCTTATTAACCCAACTTTAACCTCAAATTCCTTATATTTATTCCTCATGTAAGTAAAGGACTATACTTGTCATTTTAGTTATAGTAATAGGATCAGTTTTCTCAAACAAATCATCCAGGTTTTAGCTGCTCAGAAATTGTATAGATATGATTCTATGTTTCAAGACTATTCTGATAAAAAAACAATTTATAACAATACACAAACAATGTATTGCAGTGTTGTGATACATCTACATACCGTTATTAGTTTCAACACAACATGTTAGGAAGTGAAGAACATTTTTACACAACCTTCACATAATTTTTTACGATACGACTATGAAATCGTCAGTTGATTTCTCTCTAGGCCTATTTATTATAGAATCAAGTAAATATTCTAGTTTCCAGGAGTTATTCTTAGATGCGAATGATTCGGCAGTTAACACATTCAGTGCCCCCGACGCGTATGTGCGTTTCCTCGCACGCACATACGCGTCGGGGGCACTGAATGTGTTAATACCAAATTATTTATTACAAGAAGTGACTGTGTTCTTTTACAGTCCAATTTTCACATTTAATTTTGAGATATTTCGTCATCAAAATACTGAATTAATTATTTAGATATAGGATAAATGTCACCATTTTGCATCGAGCTTCATTGTTTCGATGCTTTTTTAGTTGGTCTCTACTGCCATTTTAGTTCCATGTTTTCATTGATTAACTAAAAGGAAAAAAATCTTTTTATTCATTCTTATTTTTTTATGCAAAAGAGTAACAAACAGCCTATAAATAATATAATGTCTGGTCCTATAATTACAATCTTTTACGCTTATTGTTGGGGTGAATAAACTAATATAGCAATTTGAAAATTAGCTTAAATTAAGTAACAGAATGTGTTGAAAATACTTGTAGAAAAGAAAAAGTTATGCAAAGATCACATTTAGTTAATTTCATAAACATGTGGACTATATTATATATTAGACATGCAGTAGGTGGGGAAAAAGTAGAGGACTGATCTAGGAGATTAAAAAATAACATGCAATGCTTAGGTAATTGATGTTTTGTCTATTTTTCTTTATGAACCGTTATCAGTAGTATTAGCTGGCACCCCTCTGTTCACCCTGAACGTACCACGTTTCTTTATTTAAATGACTGTTCTATTTCTCTTTGGAATGACGTTTTTCTGTGTGTCTCTCGCTTTGTTTGTATTTTGATTTTTTTATTTTTATTTCCATTTAACTATTTCCAGGAGGAGGATGAGGACGGGGAAGATGAAGATTATACTGATAAAGTAGTTTTGCGTTTAGTTTAGTGTTGTATCAATGTCGTACAGGTTACCGGCATGGCCGATGGACTATAGTCCATCTTGTAACTAAAATATTTATTATTTCTACAGTTTTAAGTTATCGGCAATGGGAGGCGTAGTATTTACTACTAATTTATTTACTACGACTTGTATTTTGAATATATTTTATTGTCCATGTTACTTATGAATGACACTAGCTTTGTTCGAGTTTTTATAACCATATTAAAAAAATCATAAAAACGATATAGGATAATTATTTTACTGATATCGTTAAGAACCTTGTTTGATAAATCTGTCCATGTTTCAAACTAACAACTCACAGATTATTTACTTCGACACATTTTATATTATGTCGACTCGATGTTTTAATACACAAACTCGGCAGGACAAGGACAAGTGTTATACATAAATAAGGTTAATACAAGCAGGTTGCATTCAGTCCATTGTATTAGCTTAACGTGAAGACATGACGTGCGTCTCGTGAATGTGTTTAATATAAGTGCTTTAACGAGGGTTCTCTTGGTGTTCGCTTTGTGTGTGTTTATGCTTCGCGACACAGTGACCAGGGCTGTGCGAATGAATGATTTTAGATTTTTATTAAGTAGACGTTTGTAAATGTTTATTGAATCGTGTCTCGTCATCAAAGGGACGAGCCATATAGTTTTAGCTTTATCTTGTAATTTATTGATGTACTAGCCTCCTTAGTACCTGCCTAAGTGTCAGAGAGGGATCTCACACATGACTTTAGAGTTTTAAATTATCTCGTTCTCACTTGTTGGTCAGTCTAGACGCCATGCCGGTAAACTGTTATATGCGTCGATTGTACCAAATAATATATAACAATCGATTTATTATTATAGAATTTTGAGGTCTAACGAAAGTACGTAACTAGTTTTATGTAACATTTACCTTGTTATAATTTAATTTGTACTCACTATGTGAAACTGAAGAATTGCGCGGTACCGTGCCCGTGTTTTTGCTTTATGTGTGTCTTTGTTCATTTGGTTGCCGTACAACAATACAGGATGTTGTTGCTTCGCTGCCTGCCTCGTACTTACCCGCAATCCTAACTTGTAGTTGCGCACTTTCGTTGTCTCTGTATATGTACAGTTGGAACTTATTTAAAAAACCCTTGAACATACATTCCGTACGAATACGGAAGTAAAAAATTATAGTAAGGCACGAGAAGCTAACGATGAAAAATGAGATATATTAAATAAATATTTTTTGTACTGAAGTGTTGGGCGTAGAGTTGCATGTAAGTTGACGACCGCGGCAACGATCTATTTGTAGTTGGAGGCGCGCACTGCTCGAATAGTGCAGGGAGGCGCTAGCTTCTCGTGTCTGCTAATGTTATACACAGTGACTGGTTGAGCACGTTGCGGGCGACGCGTTGTCTGAGCTCCTTCATCCCCAGTATTAGTGCCCTGGGGCTCCACAGTGCGCTCAAACACTCAACTCGTGCTCATAATTATGGAAGAATCACTATAAGTAGATAATTAATTGTGTCGGTAATCTTGTGTTAAAGAAAGATATTGAATTATCTCGTTAGTAATGAAATTGTGTCTAGTTTACACTTTTACTCGATGGCCAAATAATGAATTCAAAGGCGTTTTCTTTATAAATTATGACCTAAATAAAAGAGTAAACTGCTCTGAAAATCTTTAAAAATGTTATTAGTTTATACTTAACTATAGTTTTAGGTAATATAAGATGAAGAGATGGATACCCTGGAGTATGATGGTAGTTGGCTAGCACTTGAAGTTCCGTGGGTGCGGGCAGTCACCAGCTCTCCCCACATGTCGCCAGCTACCGCCCTACCCCGGACCGACTTTGAACAACTTTTGTATATTAATTTTGGCTTTAGACGAGTTTGTTTATTATTTTCACTTACCACATGTTTTGTACCATAATTTCGTTTATTTTCATCACGCTTCCTAAAGCCCAAAAAGATCGTTGTATAGTTGTTCAATTTATTGTAAAAAAAACTTGGATAAATGGCAAATCACAACTTATTTCTTGTTTTATTTTTCACTTGAACTTTATTTATCATCAATAATTAGTTTGGAATGATCTATGTTGATTGAATCATTTGATGTCGGCGCAATGTTATCATTTGGTGTCTTCTGTCAGCTTAGCATAAATAGTCATGGCACTCGCTACACGGCTGTATTCCTCTCAGCTTTTGTAACTATTGCTACTTGAAAACTCATTGATTTTACTACATAACTAGACGAACATTACATTCAGAAACAATTTTCATTCCTCTCCAATGTAAAACGAAGTACACTAGTAACATTTTTGTACTAGGAAAAGATTCATGATAGTAGCAAACATTTAAATAAGCTGTTTTACCTTATGGGACAAGGAAGCTCCTGCAACTTTTAGACATGATACTATAACCTTACAAGTACTCATAAGCTTACAGTAGCGAGTAGACCGTAAAATCGTGATAGCAATTAGAAGATTTCAAACCATTCTTATGCCGGTTTTCTCAGCTTGAGCGCATCCCTAGACCCCGGGGGCTTGCAGAAAACTTCATCAAAGACGAGTACCATTCGGCGAGTACGGCCCGAAGGACCGATAGCCGGACTAAAGCAGTTGAGGTTCTACCTTAGTTTCTTCCTGTTTTAGGTTATTTCTGTGTAACTAACACGTGTAGGTATTTTAGAGCAACGGACGAATTGCGCGACATGGTGATATTGGTCGGTTATCTTCGGTTCTACGGTCGACGCTGGTTGACTCGCCGATACCCGAGGTGCGTACTGCAACGTTACTTCCTAGGGCAGGATCCCAAATAATACCTAAATTCTATCAATTCCTGGGACATCAAATTTATTATTTTTTATGGCTTATTTGCGTTACTGGACTTGAAAAGAGACTGACCTCTGAGTTTGTTTCGGCATTTCTTCTCAGAGTACTGATAAGATACATGAAGCCGGTTTCATTTAGTTTTCACATATAATTTGACGTGTAAAAGTGCCGTTTTATGGCCTATTTGCAAAAATAAATTCATTGTTTCATTGTTACTGTTGGGTGCTACTCATAAAGAAGGGAAACTAGTCTAATTTTAGCCGTCACATAGTTGCGTGCGTAAGCCATACGTTAATGATTGATGTTTAGTATAATTTAACCTCTATACTGATTGCTTGGTTCGTAAAAATTATATGAATCATCACGTCATACTTAGACCCTCCAAAAACTGCCACCTGGCCTGCTAGTTTTAGGTTACTGGCTAAAGGAAATACGTAGTCTAGTTCATTTAGAAGAGCATTAAGATTTCGAAATTAAGTTGGGAAAGGCAGAATAATTACGAACACGGGGCAGTCACATTGTTTCTATGTAAAGAGCGAAATTAGTATTTCGGTCGTAGATACGTTGCTTTTATTGCAAAAAAACTACTGCGTTCGGAATTGCTTAATATTTGCGGTTACTTAATATTTGTCTTTGTATCCATATTCGAGGACGAAACAGGAGGCCATTTTAATAACACAATTTGTTATAATTATGAATTTTAAATTTTCAGATTGAACCTTCTAAATGTAGAAAAACTTATGTGTCACGAAAACGCACAGCGGCCCAAGCTTCGTAGGCAGCTCTACTGTGACAGTGCGTGGGGAGGTCAGGGTGGTTGCTCGCAGACAGATAACCAAATTAAATATTTGATTGAGATCACGTATTAATAGAAACACGATATTACCTTTTATTTTTGTTGCAGTAGTGTCGTACCATCTCCAGTAACAAAATGTCTAAAAATATCCTCATAGCTCAGCCGGTTAGAAACTTTTAAAGATTAGAAACATTTGCTATATTTTACTGTAGGAAATGTGTTTTGAATTCTATATATACAAGTCACAATCATTGTAGGTACCTATCACTACAGACTCCAATTCAAACATTCATTCATTTTTTAGTTCTGAATTTTACTATATTTTAATGTAGATAGATGTAGTTAAATAAATAATATGTAGGTAGTATATAAGAAATATTTTTCTCCATGAATGTATAAATATATACGCGAGATTAGAAAAAAAAACTAGGAATCCGAATTGCATTTTACTCAAAAATCAATGTTTGAAAATTTTAAATAATGTTAATTGTTAATGTTATAATAACATGTGTTTATTTTATTAGAACATAGAAGAGTTTATTTAGAAAATTTTCAGTTGAGTAGAAAATAGTTTTGATTTTAAATGGAAACGTGTTTTCATCGGTAAATTTTCAGTGTCTGCACCATAATACTGTATTTATTGTCTCACTGTATCAATCCAATAAATGAATATTAAATGTTAATTTTGATTTCTTTTTTTTACATATAGGTATAATTTCAAATATTCTATAAACAAAGACCTTTATTATTAAGTCTAATCTTATGTAACCTACAGGCAATCTATACTAATATTATAATGAGGTAAAATTTGTAAGTTTGTTTATAGGGGGTAATCTTTGGAACAGCTGGTGGGATTGCCAAAATTCTTTCTTTGATAGATAGTTACAATGTTCTTGAGTGCTGTAGGCTATAAAACATCACACTACAATTACATAAATGGAGGCGAGTAGCGGGTAAAACCCCGTGAGAGTAGCTAGTAAAGTATCTAGTATTTCTTATTAGCAGTGAAATAGGTAGATACATTTGATTGCAGTCTAGTGTACCTACCTACATTCTTAGTTTTAAAAACATACGCATTTCACTTGCCAATGGAATTGGCAGAGGTCTTGGCAATACCTAGTTTTCACCAGTTTTTGTTATAGTTTTCGTTACATTCAGTCCCTTTCTAAGAAAGACAGGGTTCGTCAGCAAAAATATTCCTAATATGGCTACTTATCTTATATTTCAATCAGCTGAAGGAACAGAGTGGTTTTTAGTCAGTAAGCGTCTGACACTCCCTCTTGTCATACTCTAGGTGAGAGAAGTAATTTGATGATAAGTACTTCATAATTTAGATATAAGAAAAATACAACTCACTGGAAATTCAGAGTACGACCCTGTTACATCCTACACTTGTGACATCTAGTGTCACATAGTAACGCTACTACAACGTCAAATCTACGGAAGAAGTAAGTAGTTTTGCTATTACCTGACAGAGGGCCAAAAATGGGCGGCAATAAATAAAAAAATGCGTGGTGGTTACGCCGCAATTTGGCGGGTAGCCACGTACCTTGCAAATTTTGTCAAGCGTTGGTTTTTATGGTGCCTACGTTTACACGCTTGCCGTGACTTGGCAAACTTTCACGAGCTCCAAGCGCATAAATAGGGTGTTTGGCGTGGTTTTCATTAGCTTGCAACAGCTTGTCGGCGATCCGGTCCGGTGTCAAAGGTGACAAGCCTTTGCGACGTATTTACATGTTGGCATTTTGTAAAGGCTTGGAGCTTGTGGGCGTTTGTCGAGTCTCGGCAAGCGTCTAAAAGTTCCATTAGGAAACTCTACAGCATCTTCTTTTTGTACGTGTTCTGTGTTTTTTACTCAGTTATAGTCTGACACTGCCTCTCGCCAACCAACTCATTGTATTTACTTATGGTTATTAAAACCACAAAAACGTTTATGAGATCCAATTCGTCCATAATAAATACATACCTAATTAGATTCTAACTAGACACTCTAAATTTTGTTTTGTTCGATCACCAACGAAGCAGATTAAACTAAGAATTTAAAAAAGTCACCGGGACTCTGGCTAAGCAGGTGGTGATTCTTCACATCAATTAAAAAAAAATTAATAATGTCATTATCCTCAACCGAAAATTAACGAGTCTGCTGATTAAAACACAGATAATTATTTTATTAAATTAAATCTCACCACTGCTTACAAGCAACCGATTAAAAATATTGTATAAAATAAATTACTAAGATGCTTAAAGACCTGGGAGGATAATGACTTGTTAAATTTTTTTTAATTGATGTGAAGAATCACCCACCTACTACTCACCCTCGAACTTTCCTCTATTAATTCATTGAACCTAAAATAAAGAAAGCCTCGACTTTACAAAAGATTTGTTGTACCTACATTAAGTGTGGGAGAGCCATGCTTCGGCAAGAACGGGTCGGCTCGACTGGAGTGATACCACGGCCTCATAGAAAACTGACGTGAAACAACCACAGGGTTGTGTTTCGCCGTGTGAGTGAAGTTACCAGACGTCCTATCATATATATTGGGAAGGTTCCCACAGTTATATAAAATGTACTCTGTGGGTTCCGCTCCCCAATCACTAATCCTCAAAAGGTCGGCAACGCACTCGTAACTTTTCCGTTGGTGCGGGTGTCCATGAGTAGCGCTGATTGCTTACCATGAGGTAACAAGTTCGCTCGTTTGCCACCTATCACATAAAATTTCAAGTTGCTAGGTTAGCTCTAAGAATTTTATTTATCGCCATACATTCTCTCACTTAGTGAGAGATAGAAATAGTCTGCTTCTATGTTCGTGTATGAGCGAAAATGTTATTTTTTAGGGATCCGCTCCGTCCGTTTGTGTCTTGTTCAATGGCCCTAGCGTGGCCCTAGTCGAGTTTTCTCGCCAAACAGTTACGTGCAGTCTAGACACACATTGAAATAATTAAATATTTTTACCTAATTATGATTTTTAACTGCAAGACTTTCAGATTTTCTAATTGACCAACGGTGACTTGCAAAGTTGCAATGTAGGTACTTACTGATGATTTCCGGCCAGTGAGAAACGATCTATGGCCACCGTAAGCGCGGGTCTGCGGTCGGCGAGTAAGGGTGGCTTGTCGCCCGACCAGAACCAGACCCGAGAGTACGGCGTGTTGCGTTTCCGTGTTGCGGCGTGACCATCATAGACGGGGACCTATAGGGCTGATATCCAGCCGGGGTCGAAGCGTAAGTCGTATTGTCGTAAGCGCAATGAGGGATCGAGGCCACGGCCCAGAGCAGGAGAAGGAGCGGAGGGGTTTTAGAGTCTGATACTCCCTCCCGCCCGATCCTGGGCGGAAGAAGTCATTTGATGATTTTCCTCTCGCTAAGAAAGGACGACAAGATATTTGATTAACAATAAAACTTCACATATAATAATATATTAGTAGCATTTATTCAAAGTAAGTTTACAGTGTATTTAT